TACCTGTGAATTGGCATATACATGTACATATTCACGCAATCCTGTTGTTACATTGTATCATGGAGGAACTAACGGAATATGATGCAACCTCACCGATTTTTTGATTTTTTAACGTGACCATATTATATATGTCTAGACACTTTCTCTGCAATAATATATTTTTTAGGAGCCCTTAGGATTTTTTGTTGTAGACTCTCGAAATCTTGTTCTTGTTACAGTTGCTAATAATTAAAACATGTGAAATCTGTGAAGTAACAAGTTCGTCTGTTGAATTTCCGGTTGTAAAATACATATTTTAACTCTTCACAGCTAAACAAACCCAGTGTATGGTCGCGTTAAAAAAAATAGGACCAAGAAATCGTCCAGGGCGATTTTTCGGCAGTTTTAAAATTTATTTTTTAAAATATTTTGGCGTAATTTATCAGACAAATCTTTTCCGCGTTGCGTTCAATAACATTAACATATTTAAATGAGCTATGGTGATTTAAACGCGTTGGCATCATACAGCACTCGCACTGTGCACATTTTAGCACTAGATCTAGTGCCATTTTAGCGCTAGATCTAGTGCCATTTTAGCACTAGATCTAGTACTTTTTCGGATTAGTGCTACTAGCACTAACCACTCGCACTACGCCCATTTCGACACATTTACATACATGGTCTGGGAACTAACTACTAATTCTGATTCCGGACGTGAAATGACATAACAAATTTTGGATATTATGGTTGCCCAATAATAGATGAACTGACATGGTTCTGGTTTCAGTTACGTCCCTGTTGTCAGCCGCTTGTACTTAATCATTTTCTGACACTGGGGAACGTAACGCAAACGAAATTAGAACATCACGTTACGTTCCTGTTACGTACGCAAATCTTAAACTCTCTATTAAGTTTTGGGTGTTTAATTAAATGTAACAATACAAACTACTACTAATGTTCAAGGAGTAGCATGGTATTATTTGCTCCTTTCTCTAATGTCAGTCCTCATGAGAGCTGGGTCTTTAATCTAGTCTCTTGTTATCAGTAATAAATAATATTATCTTTATTAGCTCACGTAGAAGTGTTCTATCGTCAAAAATATGACATTTCTATGACCAAGCATAAAATAATTGTAATTATACGTGTATGTTTTTTATTGGAGATTTGCTTTAAAGAGAGCAAATGGGGGAAAAAAGTATTCCAAAATGACAATTGATGATTCATTATTTTTTTTCCATTCATTGCAGCCTCAACAATATCAACAGAGAACAACATATACAACATGTAGGCGTAACATGTCACCACATGCACCAGCACTGTCCGGATGGCAGAGTCATCCATCATCGCCAGGCTGGCCACAGTTTGGTATTACTACGCGTGCACCGCCACAAAGATACACATCACCACATCAACCAACGGCGCATACTTTCGGTGCTCAAACGGTAAATTTGACACATTCAGTGTTAGTTTTGCTTTCCAATGTTTTCATCAGATCTTCTGAACCCAAGATGTAGGTCAAGGGTCACACCCAAATATTGAAGTTAGCGCAACTGTTTCCCAAGAAAATAATGTAGCCCTCCAACTGCACTATAGAACCCTTGTTCTGATTGGTTGACCTTTTTTTTTTATTTCAGTAGAGTTCACTCACCTTGCCTTATTTTCTAAGTGACATTCCTTGCATGCATTTAAACAATTTACATAACAAATGATTCATTTTGATAGATTAGATTTCTTTCATTGTGTTGCTTATTTACTGTTCTTATTGCGAGTTATTTTCAATGGCTTGATTTTTTGTATGGAATCAAGTCCAAGTGTATGAATTGCTTAGTGTTCTCACACTAAGTCATTGTGTTCACACAATAATCACTTGTCCTATTTTAAGGAGGTTTGACCTGAATTGAAGATTATATAGCACTGTTCATTTGTCATGCCATTAGGATACTAACAAAATAGAATTGTGGCCACTAAGCATTATTATTTAAAATACAGCAGTCCTAAATGTCATATACTATAGTCCAGATTAGCATTTTTTTGCACAATTTTCTAAAAAACAATATATCTCAAAATTGTGAAATGGGGTGGAAATTATCTTTTATACGATACTAATATTGATAAAATGTTAAACAATAGTCATATAATTTAGTCAGTTTCCAGTATAATAATAGTTTATTTTTGTCATTTTCTGGTTCTCTGTCATTGACTATGTTGGCATCTGAACACTCATTGATTATGTTGGCATTTAAACACTTGTTGACTATGTTGGCCTTTAAATACTGTCATTGACTATGTTGACATTTAAACACTGTCATCGACTATGTTGGCATTTAAACACTCATTGACTATGTTGACATTTAAACACTGTCATTGACTATGTTGGCATCTAACCACTCATTGACTAAGTTGGCATTTAAACACTTGTTGACTGTTAGCATTTAAACACTCATTAACTATGTTAGCACCTAAACACTCTTTGACTACATTGGCCTTTGAATATTGTCATTGACTATGTTGGCATTTAAACACTCATTGTCTGTTTGTATCTAAACACACATTGTCTATGTTGGCATCTAAACACTCATTGACTATGTTGGCCTTTAAACACTGTCATTGACTGTTGGTATTTAAACACGGTCATTGGCCATTTTGACATTTAAACACTCATTAACTGTGGGTATATAAACACTCATTGACTATGTTAGCATCTAAACACTCATTGCCTAAGTTGACATTTAAACACTTGTTGACTGTGTTGGTATCTAAACACTCATTGACTATGTTGCTGTCTAAACACTCATTGACTGTTGATACCTAACACCTAAACACTCATAGACTACGTTGGCTTTTAAATACTGTCATTGACTATGTTGGAATTTAAACACTGTCATTGACCATGTTGGCATTTAAACACTCATTGATTATGTTGGCATCCAAACACTCATTGACTATGTTGGCATATGAATACTGTCATCGTAACTCCCATTGTCTATGTTGGCATCTACACACTCATTGAATATGTTGGTATTTAAACACGGTCACTGACTATGTTGGCATTTAAACACTGTCATTGACTATGTTGACATTTAAACACTCAATGACTATATTAGCATCTAAACACTTATTGACTGTGTTGGTATCTAAACACTCATTGACAATCTTGGTATTTAAACACTCATTGACTGTTGGTATCTAAACACTCATTGACTATATTGCTGTCTAAACACTCATTGATTATGTTGGTATCTAAACACTCAAATTAAAAAGGTTATTTTGTGACATGATGAACTTATTGACACTCATTGACTATGTTGGTTTTTAAACAATGTCATTGACTATGTTGGTCTTTAAACACTGTCATTGACTATGTTGGCATTTAAACACTCATTGACTATGTTGGTATCTAAACACTCATTGACTATGTTGCTGTCTAAACACTCATTGACTATGTTGCTGTCTAAACACTCATTGATTATGTTGGTATCTAAACACTCAAATTAAAAAGGTTATTTTGTGACATGATGAACTTAAAACGATGACACAACTCAGACATTCAATCCCCAATACTCTTACAGAAAAGTTATCATTACAACTGTGTCATACATTCCAGTGGAGACATATTTCCTTAGCTCATATCGCTAAAAGGATGAATTTGTAAATTTGCGTCTCAGTGAACACCACGGTCACCAAGGTAGCTATGGCACATTAATTAATGAGTACTCCTGACACACACACTGACTAAACTGAAGTTTTATGCACTCCATTGTACAAGTGAAAACTTCACTTAGCTTCTTTGTTGTTGCATTAGCATGAGCATAGTTGACTCTTGTTCATGTTCATTGTTTACATCTGTGTATTGCTCATGACCACTTTAGTAAATTTTATTTACGATTTCTCTTGAATGTTGATGTACATTTTAACTACTTGCGTTTTCCTTCCCATTCAGATGTCATCTCGTCTTATTGTAAATAAGATCCTTTTCATTTTGGTAATATATTTTCATCTTAAATAAACTTAATTAACTCAAATTAGTATTAAGAAACACAAATATCTAAAAACTGAGGTGATATTCAGAGACCCCCCCCCCCACTATAAGATGAGACACTGTATAACAACAATGCTAGTCCTATATTTGTATATTTTAATATAATCATGACATGACTTGTTTTTATCAAGTTTTAACATCTAACATTGACAAAATCAACTAAAGCTACTTATAGTATTGCCTATCTGTTGCTATCAGCGCCAATTTGACATTCTCAACTTGTTCTTATTAACCCTCAGTTGTATGGCTTTCACACTCAGTACAAATGTATCTTGAGTAGTTCTCTCTCAGTTTTGTTCATTTTGTGACGATACCTTCAACTCTCTAATTTTAGTAGATATTTCTGTCAATTTTGGTAAAAAATGCTATTTTTGACTTCTTATTGAAAATAGCTAGCCTGATATCTTTGATATTTCAGAAGCATGTGATATTGGTGAATTTCTGTCAGATTTGTTCATTTTATGATGATACTATTTTTAGACGACAGGCTGCTTCTTATTTTAATATCATTATTAAGATATGCTAGATTTCAAAAATAATTATTTTACATCAAGTTCTTGGAAATCACTCGTATCCTTCTCATTTTATAAATCTATTAATTGGTATTGTAGTGAATGCCAATTTGTGAGTATTTGAATAAATTTACCATTGGATTCTATAGTGTTGAGATATTATGTCCTATCCCAAATTGTTGCCTCGTGAAATATGATATGTAACTTATTCACCCTAACTGATTTGACTTTTGGTTTTTCTCAATTAGTTAATTAGTTTTTAAAAAGTGATGAAAAATGCTTTTTTGCTATAACATTCTATTCATGGGAAGTTGTAGCTACCAGGTAATATATTTGCTAAATTACAGAACTATATCACACAATGGTTTCATAGCACGAATGATGGCTTCATGATTGTACATAATTAACCCAATAAACAATTTGATGTGATTTATGACTAGCTTTCTCAAAAATAATGAGTATAGGTCTTAATAGAGACTTAATGCCAGTTTGAGTTTCCAACTATTGTTATAATTCTAGTTTAAGGGCACATACCATACATGCACATTACTCTCTTTAATTCAATGGTGTCTTTCTAATCATTTAAAAGTTATCTCTTGTTTCTGTCCACAAATATTATTCTTGCAGTATGTTTGCCCCCCCCCCCCCCAGTCCTATTAACCTTTTCACTATCAGACTTTCTCGCTTAATTTTTTTTGCATTTTTAATCCTAATATTCTTCAATATTTCTGGAAATGAACTCTAATTTTGGTGCCACTGACAAAATTTGAGTTAATCTTCAGTTTTTAGCTCCGCTGTCGACTTTGTCGAGCGGAGCTTATATGAGTGATTGTCCGTCGTCGTCGTCGTCCGTCGTCGTCCGGGTAAATGTTTACTTTTTC